AAGAGATTTCTATGAGTATTTAAAGTAAAATATTATAAAAATCTAAATTCTAGACTAATTACAATATGTTGATATATTTGATCTACTCAATAATTTTTTTTTAAATGTATTAAGAAAGAATTACTTGATATTTCATTTTTAAATCTTATAAAAACCATACAACTATCATTTTAGATTCGTTGTTATTGTAAGATATAATGATTGTAATAAATTCAATATGTTCTGCTTGTCTCCTGTTATTTATCTCAACTGATTTTTTCTTTAGAGAAAAGAAAATATTGAAATTAAAAAATTAGTTTTTTAAAAGGAAAGTAGAAAAGTAATATGTTAGATGACGACAACAGTTGTACTTAAAATGAAAAGAAAAAAAATGTTTTCTACTGATTGAAACAGATTAAATCTAAATCACTCAATTTGTTTATATCAACAAAAAATACTTTAAATAAGACATCAAGTCTTATTCGATATTTTTGTTTTGAACTTAGTTTGTCTTACAACATTTCTCTCATCGATGATATACTATATATAATACTTAACAGAAACACATACTGCTCAAGAGTGTACTTGATTGAATGATATATTAATAAATAGTTGGACGAGATTCCTATCAGTAAGTATATGATCTTTTGAGAGAATTAAGTCTATTTTAAATCAAAAATATTAATTAAAAACTGTTTAGTTTAACAAGCGATTTTACTGACAATGTAATTAAATGATTTATTTTTTTTGTCATATATGAAACATGAAGACATTCTGCATCATCAAACGATATATTTTAATCAACTTAAAATCTCAATACACATTCAGAAGATTATTGTTTCGAAAATAAACTATTAAGATATTTAATTCTAATATTCATTATACATGATCATGACTCTATTTTAAAGTTGAGAAAAGAAAAGTCTTTTTCATTTATTTATCGTTCGTATAAAAGTACATCAATAGTGAGAACATTTTATTAAAATTAAAAGAAAAAACAAAGAAAAGTTGTCTTCACTACCTATGGTTTATTATGAATAATAAATAAGCAAAAAATAAAAGACTTTTACTTTTATTAAAGGTAAGACTAGTAATGAGTTTTTTTCTTTTATTCATATTATAAGTTAAATTACATAAGTATGTACATCAGAACTTAGTAGATTTATCATTAGAAGTTTTTAGTATGTTTTGATAAACTAATAAAATTATCATTATCGAGTTTATATTGCGTAGAAGTATTTTTTTAAAACCATGTATACAATCAGTAATAGTCCCAATATATCAAACTATGTGACTCGATCAGGCGGATAGAAAAAAGTTAAAAAGATAGACTCGGTTGGGTAAATCCAGTAAAGTATCTTTGTATAATAGTTTTTTTTTTAAATAATTACGAATTTTGGCCAAGTGTATTTTTGATTTGCACAAAATATTGAAATCTTTTTGTGAAAATGATATTTATAGGTTTTTTTATTTCAGAAAAAGAAAATTCAATTATGTTTTTTTCCTATCAACACTTGTTGTTTCTTATTTTAACATTATACCTACAAAGCACATCAAGTAATAGACAATCATTTATTAATTTATCTCAACTTGGTTTAGAATTTATTCCAAGCAATGAAAATCTTCTTTTTTTAGTTGATACCAATGCTGATTCAATTATAACTTGTTCAAAAATATGTTTTTTCAAATATATATTGTCGAACATTTAATTTTAATATGCAATCAAAACGTTGTCGACTTTATGAAGGTGATATAGATAATACAGGATCAATTGTGAATTCTCAATCAACTCAATCAGTTGTTGGAACAATTAAATTAAATACAGATGATTTTATTGATTATGGACGTCCATGTAGTTTTTGTGAGAATAAACCATATTTAGTTTGTATGAATTCTATGTGTCAATGTCAATCTCATTCATTTTACAATGGATCAATGTGTCAGAGTCAAAAATTTCTTGGAGGCTCATGTACTAATGATAAAGAATGTCGAAATGATATTAATCTTACATGTCTTTCAACTATGCAATGTGGATGTAAGTATTATTAATAAGTTTAATATCCATCTTCTTCTCATTGCATCCAATTGAGATTTTATTGTTTATACTATATGTTAAGAAATATTTGTTAATTAAATCAATTTCTTTTTAATACAAAA